GAGGTGAGGAACCGTCACCGGGCTACGCGGACGCAGCTACCTGGGATGTTGCTCAGAAATGCATCCTGGTCTTTAAAACGAGAGACAAGAAGTGGAGGCACGATTCTGAAGGGGTAGGTAGGAGATGACATCGTCTGAGGAGGAGACTCGTGGGCGAGGGGACTGGGCTGAGGGCTCCCTACCACCCTGCGGCAGAGGAGGGGGCACGAGGGCAGCCCTGACTCTGCCCGTAGTCTGGAGGCATGTCCCAGCCCCGACCCTGCCCTCGGAAGGCCCCACCCGGGTTGGGACCTGCCCCGGGAAGGCCGCACCGTGAGGGGCCGTGAGGGACCTGCCCCGGGAAGGCCGTGTCCTGAGGGCCGTGGGGGACCTGCCCCGGGAAGGCCGCACCGTGAGGGGCCGTGAAGGACCTGCCCCGGGAAGGCCGTGTCCTGAGGGCCGTGGGGGACCTGCCCCGGGAAGGCCGTGTCCTGAGGGCCATGGGGGACCTGCCCCGGGAAGGCCGTGTCCTGAGGGCCATGGGGGACCTGCCCCGGGAAGGCCGCACTGTGAGGGGCTGTGAGGGACCTGCCCCGGGAAGGCCGTGTCCTGAGGGCCGTGAGGAGCTGTGAGGGACCTGCCCCGGGAAGGCCGCGTCCTGAGGGGCCCGGGTCAGGTGCGGAGCGGCCCCCACAGCCCCGCAGCCCGTGGGAGAGCCTGCGAAGACCTGCACACACATCTCAGGGAGAACCGAGACAGAAAAGCCATTTTGTGTCGCCGCGTTCGTTTCCGTCGTCAGCCTGACCAGCCAAACCTCAAAGCCTCAGCAGCACGTGAGCCCTGAGCCTGCCCGAGGGCGCGCGCTCAGCCGAGTCCCTGTCTCCGGCCCTCGAGGCCGGGCCTCCACCGCTGCGTCATCCCGCGGGGCGCGTCTGTGTGTCCTGGACTCAGGTCTTCCCTGGTCCTTCCTGCTTCTGGTCGGCCTCGGTCTCGGGGCCGGCCACGCCTTCGCTGCTTAACCCTGTTCCTTTATTCCTGCCGGGCTCCGGGTCAACGCGGGGGAACCGCCTCCGGAACCTTCCACACGCGGCGGCAGGGCTGTCCTCCACGCAGCCCGACCCGGCTGCCCGAGGACGTAGCTCAGGGAACGAGCGCGGCGGTGCCCTGACCTGGCTTCCGGACGGGCAGAGAACGGTCCCGGGAGCCCGGTTCCCGCGCCGCCCGACGCGGGAGGGCCCGACCGCACACGCGCCGCGACAGCTGCACCAGGCCGGGCTCTAAGGGACGGCGGCGCGGCCTCGTTCTCGCCCTGTGCTCCCCTCGCGGTTCACGTCCCGGGGCTGGGGGCACGGGGAGGCCGGCAGAAGAGGGCAAGCACCCGCTCCTCGCGCCGGGAGCCGTCCTCCGACACGCGGCACCTCGGGGGGCCAGGAAGGTTAGACTTCTGGGGCCATCTCAGTCAGACTTCAGGGGCCGCCTCTGGCCTCTTTTGATTCCTCCGCTGTGACGCGCGGCACCTCTGAACGACATCTGTGAGTCTGAGGACACCGGGAACGCCACACCCTTCGGTGTATCTTTGATAACGTCTACCTTCAGCGGAGGTTCAAATTTCCCTAGAACCTTCATTTCTCCCTTTTTCTTTCCCCTTAAGCTCCATGTGACCCAGATGTTGAATCTCGGACTGACTCCAGCTGGTTTTAGGCCACCCAGAGGCACCTGAAAATGGACACACTTCAGCCTGGAAAACTGATTTCACGTGCACTGTTGAGCATAAAACGCGCACAAACATACAAACGCATCTTAAATTACACTTTACAGTGTACATTATAAAGAAAACAATAGTTTTACAGAATAAAAGTAACTATGGCAACCTGCAGATTCAAATCAGGCTGCCTCCAAGGCAGCGGTTTCCAGGTGCCTCAGTAACTTTCCATTAAAGTGTGTCTCAGATACACGTTTTGGGACAGCGTTACCGGGATCTCCTACTTCGCGTTCTCTATTTAATCATCCCTTTCGGTGTTAAGGACGAAAACCACGTGATCATGCAAAATTCTTGGAGGATGTCTGTTTCGCTGCGATCTTTTTATCGTCTCGTGCGTCAGAGTCCTAACCCTGGGAGACGGTCTTTTGACATCAACTGGTCGGGAGGGAGTCAGACAGAAAGGACCAGGAGCCAAGAAACTGGGTTCGTGCAACAGCGGCTCAGGTGGGCCGTCCGTGAGCCATCACGACGGTGCCGCCTCCTGACTGTCCACCCCACCCCCAACAGCGACGTTTGCAGACTGCAGAGGGTTTAGTTTGGGGTCCTGAGAAGCAGGACTACGATCTGCAGCTTCTCCTCATTCCCAAGCAAGGCCGAGCTCCGTAACGAGGTACAAGCCTGAAGAGGAGCTGAGACGAGGCCTGGCTCTTCGTCACTGTGGGAGGAGAGGCAGCAACGATGATGATGTCAGTCCAACAATACTTACTGTGTGCCCACAACATGCAAGGGGTGGGGCACATCCTCCTGCAGCACATAACGGGTGAGGAGAACTGGCTCTTGCCTTCAAAATACCTCAGGAGACAAGCAGAGCCGCGTGTTGGACTCAGCACTCGGTTTGCATGATCAAGTTCATAAGGAAACTCCAGGGAGCAGGTGTGTAGTGTCTGCATTAGCAGAGGGCTCCTTCGAGGAGTTTCATGACCTCCGACTACCACAAACTTGGAAACAGACATTACGCGGAGAATTACCAGTTGCCTGGGGTAAAGGTCACGCAGGGACAGATACTCGGAGACAAGTCTGGGTAGGGGGGAAAGGGCAACATTGGGAAAGCTCTAATCTGTAGTTCTGGAGGCGACTGCTGGACCGTCGCAGGGAGAGCGTGCGGCGGGGGAGAAATGGATCAAGATAAATAAGCAGGAAGAAGGCGGCTGGAGTTCGGAGGGTGCCCCGGCAATGACCGAGGCCACCCCGAGAGGTGCTGCAAAGGCGGAAGGCGGCAGCAGCAACGCACGGGGCCGAGGAGGTGGAGGGAAGACGCATGAAAACGACCAGGCCATGAATGAAGTGATGTTAACGCTACTGCAGTCATTCGTTCATTCTTGGAATGTTTGCTGAACACTTACTTTGTGCCACGGGTGTTACTTTTTCCCAGGCACCCTAACAGCCAAAAAAGGGCCAGGAGCTGCTTTAGTGAGATGATGGACTTAAATTTTTTTGAAAACATTTGTTTATTTTGGAGGAGGTTGGAGGGGCGGAGGGAGAGGAGAGAATCCCAAGTAGAACCCGTGCGAGCCCGACGCAGGGCTTGATCCCACGACCCTGAGATCATGACCTGGGCCGAAGTGGAGAGCTGGATGCTGAACCCACTGAGCGGCCCGGGTGCCCCAAGATGTGCACTTAATTTTATACCCAGAGAGTTCAAAGTGCCGGGACATTCAGGCTGTCACCTGTGGACAGGGGTCAGTCTAGGACAGTGACTGGCTTGGAATCATCTGTATAAAGGCAGCTCACTGGGGCTGCGGAAAGGGGCAAGACCACCGAAGTACGACTTTTCTGTAAAGTAGAAACGTTCTCGGGGCGGAGCAAGTTCAGGGACAGATGTGAGGAAAGAACGCTACTGCCCTCGGGCGTCTGGAGGAACAAAAATCGTCAGCAAAGAGATGGTCGAGAATAACCGAGAGGGAGCCGAGGTGAGATGGTGCTGCCTCGGGAGGCACGCGGCGGCTCGACAGGCACGAGGTCCGGAGCGCCAGCTCTCCGATGGGAGTGAGGAGGGAAGCTGCCAACGGGCCACGGAGGAGGCTGTCGCTGCGTCTACGTCAGGAAGCCGGGGATGGACGGGGACGGGTGTTTGGTGGGGAAGAGAGAGAGCAGTGCCAGGTGGCTTCAGGGCGTGAGCGTACACGTGAGGGATCGTTGTTCATGAGAGACCCAGAGAGAGGCGGAGACCCAGGCCGAGGGAGCAGCAGGCTCCCCACGGGGACCCGACCCGGGACTCGATGTCAGGGCCTGGGCCCGAGGCGGCCGCTGAGCTGCGGAGCCCCCGGATTAACAGTATTTTAGACAATGCCGGTTGCCCCGCAGCTCCCGAGGGTCCACGTGCCAGGCACTGTCCCGAGTCCCTGGTGCACGTTCATGCACTGGGTCCGACACACGCTACGCTGCATGGGTCTCGCAGGCGGGGGGCTCCGACGCGACGGCCTCAGGAGGCTAGGCTCGCCTGCCACCACCGAGGCGTGTTTCCCGGAACCTGGGCAGCCGGACCTCACAGCCCTCAAGCACCCTGTGACGCCGTGAGGCTGGCAAAAGCTTACGTAGGCTCGTCGGAAGAAAGGAAATACAAAAGGAAGGAGCGGGAGGACATAATGGTAGGAACGGCCCAAAGGGGGTGGGAGAAAGGGCGCCTTCCCAGTGGGAGGAACCCCGGTGAAGGGTCCCCGGGAAGAGAGGGGCTGAGACGTGGAGAGATTTTGAGCTTCGAGGAACATGGGTGCGGGAACCCGCCTCGGGGGATATTTTTACCCCGCGGGCTCCGAACCAAAAGGGGGCCCTTCTTCCTAGAGTACAGGTGAGGGAGAGGGCTGAGAGGCGACTCCACAGAAACCTCCTCATGTCTGTTGCTTTATCAGTGGAAGCTTCCGCCGCGGTGGAAAAGCAAGAACCCCCAGGTGGACCCGGGCCTATCAACGAGCCTCACCCAGACGTGCGTGTGCACAACAACGGGCTACAGAGGACACTTCAGCTGTGCAGACCCTAGAACTCGGTGGTACCTAAGAACCAGAAGGCAACTTCTGATCCCATAGACATTCTCTTCCTTTCTCTTTCAAGTGGCTTTAACGGCAAAAAGAAACATAAAGTGCAGCCCACCTAAATCAACAAGCATATTGATGTACATTTTCCTTTGTGGGTTTTTTTCCCGCCTCTTGCGAGAAGTGTTTGCTATTTAAAATCTGTTACTAGGTGATCGTGGCCAAGCACATTCTTCTCTCTTCCCCAGTCAACCCTACACATTTCACTGTGTGTTTGCAAGTAAAAATACCTGTTGCCGTGCACGTGAGAGGCGCAGAATGCAAAGCTGTAATGGAGCAGGGTCGGGTCAATGACAGCACCATTTTCTGAATGTTCCATCAGCTCCGTAAGGTAGCAGAGATGTCTGTGACAGCCTCTCACACCGTAACGGGCGCAGTACTCATCCAACACAAAGACTTGGCCAGGGCTAAACCAACCCTGCAAAAGAGAAAAAAATACATATTTTTTTTCCTTTCTGTACTAAGATTGATTTGCTTTTCTGTAGGCATTCTTTTTTTTTTTTTTTAAGATTTTATTTATTCACGAGAGACACAGAGATACAGAGAGACAGAGAGGCAGAGACACAGGCAGAGGGAGAAGCAGACTCCCTGCGGGGAACCTGATGCGGGACTCGATCCCGGGCCCTGAGCCACCTGGGCGTCCTCTTTGATATTAGAAGCAGCTGCATCCAAGTGTCTTTTGACAATTCTTTGTTATTATTAGTGGCATGTTTACGTTATTTCCATAAAGCTAACGTCCATTTCGGACCTGACCTGGGGCCCTGGTGACCTAGTGCCATGCTCCCTTCACTGCCACGGCGCGGGCAACCCGCTTTCCTCCACGGTCATTCAAAATTAGCCGAATTTACTCACAGTATCTAAACTGTCCGTCACAGACAGTCCCGTTCTGAAAAACCTCAATCCCCGTGTGCATCACTTAAGAAGACAATGGTTAAAGGGGGCACCGTCAGTGAAATCGCCTCGTTGCCAGAAGCGTTTTATAAAGTGAACTAAGAAAATAGCAGCTGCGCCTAGAGGTGGCCAATGCCCGCAGCGCGAGGAGGGTAGCGCCCCTTCAAAATGCGAACTGTACTTTACATCCCAACTTTGGGCTGGTTTCGACACACAGAGAGCTGCAGTTCAGCTATGTGATCCCCACCCCCACCCCCCCTTTTTTAAGGAATTCAAATGATCTCTGGAAGGTTCAATGAAACCGAAGATTTCCTGTGTCATACGGTTTCTCCATTGTTTCCTTCCCCCAGCACTAGGCTGTGCTCTAGGAACAAAAGAGAGAAACGGAAGATACCAACGTTTGCTGAGAACGTGAACCTTAAAACGTCCGCACAGGTGTTAGTGAATCTCATCTCAGAGGTGTGGTTTTGTTTTGTTCTGACCTTCATTAAAGCCTTTATTTTCATTCAGCCTTCTCCGGAGGGACTGACGGACCACGATTCCGCGTCCGCTGGAGTCTACTCTCCTGTCTATTGAGTGGCACAGCAGTGGTCTTCAAGTGTATAATTTTCAAATTGGGAAGCAATCGATCGGAATCCTTCATCCCGAACTCCCCACTACAGTTATTAAAGGAGTCAGGAATAAAATGCCGCTTCGTAACAAGTGTTTCTCACTTTAAGAAAATCTTTCATTCCAACCTACAGCACACCGGAGACAGAGACTTGTACTCACCAAGCAAGAGTAGGAATCATTGAGCCTGTGATCTAAAGTCTGCCTCTGGAGTATTCTAAAAAGGAAGGCGTGGTCAAGCTTGCAAGGGTTGGCAGAAATAAACTCATCCATACCATGTTTCTGAAAACGGTCTGCATCTGTAAATTCAGAAAAGCACGTTATAATACATTTATTTCTCTGGCTTAACGATGGGCAAATACAGTTTTTGGGGCACAAAATGCATGCTTCCTGATAAACAGATGACTTTGCATTACAAAAAATACACTGCCAAGAATTCAGCATATTAATATAAATCGCTATTTTTTTTTTTTTGGACCCCAATGAAAAATGACCTGGAAAAATCTGCAAATCATTTGAAAGGTAGAAATCCCATTTTCCCCTCTAAGCAAATTCTAATATCCATCAGTGAAATAATCTTATTTTCTAATTTTAAGAAAAGCAGATGCATTTTAAGTATGTATTTATAGAAGGAACTGACTGCAAAAGAACTCAGATCTATCTACTCATAAAAAACAGCAAGGATAGCTAGAAGCTTGCTTTCCAAATGGCAAACTGGGGCAGAAATGAACACACAGGCTTCTGTTGGACCACTTCCAGTCTTTTTTTTTTTTTTTTTTTTTTTTAGTCTTTAATGGGACCAACCTTAATGTAGAAATGGCAGTGAATGCTCTCAAGCTTCAAGCTTAAGAGACATAAAAAAGGGAGCATCATGTTTGTGCAAATATGCAGACAAAGCATAACGTCCCAAATGGCACTTCAATCAAAGGTCCAAATTTATTGTTCTTTACAGATTGCATCTTTCAACGCCTGTCGACCCTGCGGGTTTATCAAAAGGCAAGCTTTTACGATTGCTTTCATTAATGGTATGTTTTGTCAAAGTCTTCAATGTGAGTTAGTTACTCAGCATAGAGAGAAAAAGCCGTATCCCACCCAAAAGGAGTGCTGGGGTGTTACGACATTAGCTCTGCTAGAAGCGCAGCGCGCATGGGGCAAGCAATCAGTTATCAGGATGAAAGCGGACTCTCCTGACAATGGTAGAGCTCAGGCCCCATTGTTCTTTAAAATTCACAGATAGATCTCGCTCTGGTCATTACAAGAAGTGGCGCCCTAAATGTAAGCTGAATGTAGTTTTTAAAACCTATCTGGGTACAATCCTAAAATTGCAAAGGAAAGGAGACAAAAGTTTATTGATTAAACGCAATTATAGAGTCAGGCTCATAATAAAACTCAGTATTGATCTGTGGACATGATGCTAACATAATCAGTCACATTTAGATATTTAGCCCAGATCATATTGATCCTATGTCAAGTTCAACTTTCAGCCATATTTGCGGATGGAAGAACTATGTAATTCAAGCTGAAGGGTCTTCAGAATCACATTTAAGAAAAAAAAGATCTCACACCAGTGACAGATATCAAAAGGTGAATGTAGCAAGTAAGCAAGGAGTGGGCATCCACTGAGGATGTAAGGTCTGGGGTTAGGATCTACGGAGAAATTGGCGTACGTATGTATATTCCTTTACATTTACTAATTATTTGACTGAATGATTAAGTGCATTACATGAGGTGAATCAGTATTAACTGGATGAACACTAAGTGTTATTAAACTGCTTTTCCTGAACTGAGAAATGAGACAATTCAACTTGTCTGGTATTTTTATCCTTATGTCTGATAGTCTTTCAAAAGAAAGTCTTTCAAAGTTACATTTATGATAGTGTGAAATAATATCACATGAATACACAGAATACTGAAAAACTCAAGGCACATATGATATAAAGCTGTTATTCTGTATCCTAAATAATCTCAGGATCTTCATTTGAGTAAAAAAGCTTTTAGTAACACCTTTAGGAAATCACTAGTTTTATAAAACACTGCTAAATTTTACTCATTATTTCTTTCACCAGGGAAGGTCGTAACAAGAAGCCAAAAATAACACCCATTAATGGCTTATCTGTTGAGAGTAGGAGATATAAGAAATTTCACAGAAAATCCAGAATTCTTTTATTCTATAAAATACATACATTATATACATAAATATTACAGTGTATTCCACATAGTTCTTTTTTTTTTTACTTCTACTTTTTATAAAGGTTTACAGAAAGAAGCAAAATTTTTATTTTAAAGCAATGGATACATAGTCTTTAAGTAAAATCTACATGTTCCTGAAAAAAATGAATCTATGGTTCATTTCTATAATTAAAGCATATATTAAAAAATGAATTTACTTTATGAAGTGTTTTCTTCATGAAATATAACTCTAAACTACGTATTTGCTATGTGTCAAGCCCTTCAGTATCACACACACAAATGAAAAAATTACTTTGCCAATGATTTCCTTTAGCGTAAAAATATTCATAATAGCAATTTAAGTTACAAAAACAGACTCCATATTGATAGTGATAAAATAAGTAGGCAAACAAAATTCTACTAAAAAAAAAAAAAACCTACAATCTCTCTGGGGCTATAATTTCATGGAAGTGAAATATATTTTTAGGGATTATCCCATCTTCAAAACACAGGCTGTAAGGACTAAGCATCTCTCTTTTTAGGTCTGTCTGATAAGCAGAATTTAAAATATTTTAGGCAAATATACTTTACCATGCACCATTGATTCATTAGTTTCTATGAATTTATGAAGACATACATTTTGAAAAAGCAATGGATTTGATCTCCTTGTGTGAGAAAGCTTTCACCTTAAGATCCTCTCATGAACTAATGTAAAATAGGAAAACATCTATTGTTAAAATATTACCTAGTTTCTTATTTCTGTAAAATACTATTTTCATATAGTTTTCTCTTGGCATAATATATCTACACTCTTAGAAAATAAAGTGATACCATCTGGATCAAATGAATTGTCCTTTCAATTACATAGCCAAATGCAAGGCTTGGAGAGTTGCTTTAAAACTGAGTTATACTCGATTATCTTCAATTAATGTTTATTAAAACACAAAATTACGGTGACTAGTTTTAAAAGAAAAAATATTCATGGCACTAATCAAATGTTCAGTGATAATGACAAATCTTAGTTCAGTTTGTTTTCCAAAATGATTTAAGAAAATTATCAGAAGAAACCAACAAGATATGAGCTTGAACAATGAACTGCAAAACTGTCATAAATTGTGATGATTAACCTATGGACTAACTACAGATGTGGGACATGGTAATTGAGGAAACTGGTGGAGAGTTTCTATGGTAACAGTTGGATATATGCTCCGGCGTCTTTAGGCGGTACTGTCACCAGGTGTGGTAAAAGTGGATGGAATAAGACCCAAATTGAGAAAGATTATTATTTGCTATAGATTCATGGAATTATGGAGGCTTATTCAAATGGAACCTGAAAATTTAAATTTTTCATTAGGGTAATAGCTGTTGGAAGTCAAGAGGAAAGAATGAGTAGGCTGACGGTACCAATTTAAACAGTTACCTCGGGCTTGAAAACAGCTAGCCTACAAAACAACGTGAGGACTATTAGCAAGCCAGTAGGACCCCCGTGGTGTGTGGGAGGGGGGCTTTTGGTGGGAGCACAGTCAGGCCCTGGGTGCTCAAGAATCCAAGCCCCAAGGACAGGCATCTAAGTCACAGTGCTGAACGTGAGATGGGCAAAAATTTAACTGAAATGTTTCTTCTTCCTTTGCAACTGATTCTAAGGATGCTGCCTTTTTTTTTTTTTCTGCTCCTTGTATTGAGAAAAATTAGGAATAAAATACAGCAGAGGAAAAGGGAGTGGGGAAGAGGCAAATGGGACACAGCGGGAAAGGAGGTGGCCATTCACGTAGCATTCTGAGACCACCCAGATGTCCGGGCCTGGGACTCAAGTACCAAAAAGGACTGTGAGGAAGGTGTTGCTGCCTAAGAGCTCACCTGCTCCTCTGCAAAATCCTGAACTAATCAACATATGAACCTTCTGAAATACAATAACTTGGTTTAAAATTATCCTGTGGTTAAGAGTTTGCCCATAGCTGCATTTACCCATACCCACATCTGATTTTATTTTCCTTTTAGCTCAAACTCTCATTAAGCTTGAAAATTCACAAGAAGTTAAACATGGTGCAGAGAGGACCTCTTGTCTTTTGATAGCACCCATGCAGCCAGTAACAGGAAGTTTCAAAATTTTAGATTATCTTGGTTGGCATTTTTTGTTTTACGTACATATGTTTTATGCTGAACACCAAAGAGAAATGTCAATACTTGCATTAATTAGGAGTTTGTTCACACCTCTATTATTGACCCAAATAATTTCTTAGCTTGTTTTTGTTAAATTGACTAAAAACGGATGTATGAATTTACACATCTTGCTTTATGGTGGCAAAAAACAAATAAGTATTTTCACATGATGACAATTTTAATCAACACATACATAGAATCATAAGCAAAGTAAACCAACATTCAACATGTATTTGAAATAATATATTTGATGTATAGTAAAATATACCTGTGAAGTGTGAAGTGTAATTACTAGATCAATCAAGAAAATAAGCTCAAAAATTTAAATGTAAGTTTATATACTGATTGAAGAATTTTTTTTTTTTTAAATTTGACTTTAAAAGAAGGTAACTTCTCTGGTTCATTTTTGACTTTTTTTTTTTTACTTTTAGAAGTCAACTAGTACTCTGTTGTATTATGTTACATACATATTGTATTACATTATATACATAAGAGAGAAAAATGAAAAATAGGTGCTTTGCATAGTAAAGGATAGTTTAACTGAAGAATGTCTGGCAAAAGGCAATGCACAGTTTGGCAGAAAATTTGTATAGCGAGCAGACCCCTACCCTACCCATTCAGTTTACCATTTGCTTAGAATTTCTAAATATCCTGAAAGTGTAAGAAAGAGGGAAGCTGAGTAGATTCATGTATCAGAAAAATCTATAAATACGTATTATTCATATCCTAAAACAGATAATAAGGTTGTCTTCAGATAAGGCAGACTTTAAATTTGTTTTGTTCTATCTCTAGACAATTAATGTGTTTAGTTTTTAAGAAGAGTTTTATAACATAGATAATTCATAAAACAGAGGAAGTGGATCAGTAACTAGTCCCTTTACTTAAACTCACCTACTGTGAATAGTTTAGATATAATTTTAGCGATATTTATGAAATTTTAACATAGTTAAAATATCGCATAATAATTTAGCATTTTTCCACTTAACATTACTATGTTTTTTCTTTTTTTGCATATCAACTTCATAGCCATTACGTTTATGCCCACATGAATGGTAGATATTAGGTTGTTTCTACTTTTCTGTTGAGGCAAAAATAGACTTTTGTTTCATAAATGGTAAAGTTAACCTAAATATTCTGGGATTGCTTAGAAAGGAGGAGGCTGGCATTGTCAACAAGATCATGAAATTTCTTCAAAAATCATGTAATTTTTTAGTACAATGAAGCAAAAAAAAAAAAAAATCATGAAAATACTCACCCTTACCAGCTATAGGTCAGCAAGGAATGAAAAAGCATATTAAATGGATTAGGAGCATATTGATTTCTGTAGCTAGTCATTTTAATTTTATATTATTTCCTTACTTTCTACTAATGACTCTAAAAGTCGTTCTTCCTAGAGATGATCAAAAGAGAAGAAAAAGAAATGCTGTGGAGGTCCCAGAAGGCAGGACAATACGCCAAGGGCTAACTGCTCTCTGGAGAAGTCCAACGGCTTCTCTGAGAGAGGTCAAGATCAGTAAGTATTCTCAATCAATGAGGCGGAAACACATTTTTCTTCCTTCTTCCTCACCTTCCTTTTTAAAGAAACATAAAATAGCAGTCTGCTGTGATAGAAAACTTTACTAAAAGCCTGGAATACAAGAAAGCTGTCGTTAACCTAACAAGTTTGGATTTTTTACAAGTGAATCAAAGGGCAGGAAAACCCCATTCCACTTAGCCTCATCGACACCGCTCTGACAACAGGCTGACATCTGATAGCAGAACGGTTTTGTGAGACAGATTACATGGCTCTTTGAATCAGCTCATTAGCTGATCTTATATTTGTTAATTCTGAATCGTGTAGTTACGGCCTTAATGTCCTAGGCCAGTGGTTCCTGACCACTTGCCAGCACACAAGACGGATGGTATCCAAGACCTCAGTGCGCCCCTTGGGTATTTCCTGCCCTTAGGATATTAAAAAATACTGACACACAAATCAATGAGGAAATCTTATCCTAAAAATAATTTTCAAGGTGCTATAACTCAGTGGTTGCCAAATGAGGGTGTTTCTAGCTCATCTTTTACTCTGGCCCCCAGAACATTTGGCACTGTCTGGAGATATTTTTGGTTATCAGACTGGAAGGAGGGGGTGGTCTGCTACTGGCATCTAGCAGTGGAAGCCAGGGATGAAGCTAAGCATCCTATTAAACCACGGGACAGCCCTCCTGCCAACCCTTGAAACAAAGCATTATCTGGCCCAAAATGTTACTAGCGCCCAGGTTGAAAAATCTCGCTCTAACTTAAAAAAACAATCATTCTGTTTCTTGTCAGGATGCAGTCCCTGAGAAGAGATTTACTTCCTACGTGAAACAACAAAAAATTCTGAAAAAAAAAAAAAAAAAAAAAAAAAAAAAAAAAAAAAAAAAAACCACACACAAAAACCCACAAAAAACCCCCCAAAGAAACCCAACAAAAAAACATTAAAAAAATAGTTCTCAAAACATGGAGTATCAGGCAACCCAGGAGAGTGATTCCTAAGAGATGGGAAACAAAGGAGGTGAGTTGAGGCTCAAGTTAATGCAGGAGAAACTTTCAAGGCTGTGGCACAGGCCTGAGAAGCCCCAGAGCACCCGTGTGCTCGCCCCGTGGGGAAGATGGACGGACAGTTCAGGGAGGTCGGAAAGCCTGGAGCCAGCCTGCAAGAAGGCGGTTTGCTCCCACTGCCTCTTTCTATATTCGGGGGGACACTGACCACCCCCACGTGTGAGGACACTGCCTGCGGCCAGGGAAGAACTCAGCGTAAAGGACGAGAGGGAGCAGTGCCCACACTCACACAGAGCCTGCAATACTGCTTGTTCTCAACAGCCAGGAGGAAACCTCAAAGCTCATGGGTCGTCAGTCTCTAAGAAGAATCCTGGTCCAGAAACGAGGAAAACTAACCCAAGACTAGACGCCGTTTAGTCCCATCTAACAAAACTTAAGAGTAATATTTGAAAAGATTGCACTGTTTCCAAGTAACTTGACTGCGTCTGAGAATAGAGCTCAAGAACAATTTCATGAAGAAAACTACATCAAGGCACATTATAGGCTAGTTGCTCAACACCAGTGTTAAAGAGAGTATCTTTAACGCAGAAGGAAAAAAAGACACATTATATACCGAGGAACAGACAGAAATGAGCATATTTCTCAATATTAAAAGAAAAAGGTGTTAGAGCATGAGGCAAAATCCTTAAAGCACCAGAAGAATTTTTTTTTTTCAAAATGAAGGTAAATTATTTTTCCATGTATAAGAAAACCAAAAGAATTAATCACCATCAGACTTGCACATAAATCAAAAGAAATCCTTCAAGAAGTGAAATATTTTTACAAGACAATGAAGAACTGAAGAATGCTAGAACTGATAACTACTTGGGTAAGTTTATAACAAATATTTCCTCATATTATTTTAATTTCTCTAGAAGATCACTGAATGTGAAAGCAGTGATGGTAAGAGCAAGACACTGTGGGGTTTATAACATGGATAGAAGTGAAATGTAGGATGAGAGTAGTCCAGAGCCCAGAAGGGAGAGATGGAAGTAAACTATTTTAAGATTCATATACGATGCATGTGGGGCTCTACTATCACATGAAGATGGACTGTAGTTAAGTGGAAAGATGGACATTTTAAACCCTGAAACACAAAGGCCCTGGACTTGAGCTCATGTTCCATCTTCAGTTATTTGGCTTAATGTGCTATTAAGATGCCTAGATATGAGAGTGAAAAGAGACTAGTTATGTGATGTATGAACAGAAGAACAAAATAATGCATGTCAAGACATTATCTCCCTGGAGAAGAGGCTTAAGAGTAAAACCTTTTCACTGAAAAGCCAAAAATTGAATTTAAAGTCACAGAAATGACTTATGACACAAGAGACCAGAGAAGCTTTGCAAAGGAGTGCAGCAAGTTACAGCTGGTTTAATGATTATTAAAGCTGGGTTTGAAAATGTTTCTATAATTATTCCATCATTTGTTATTAATCACTTGTAGATTCAAATGAAAAATAACTTTTTAATGATTTAAATTAGCATACGAAGGATGACATGAATACTAAGGTATCTAGATAAAGTTGGCTTGATGACTTACTCTTTTTTACCAATCTACAACAGGAAACAGCCTTATTATCCTTTAGAATGCTTAAGAACCACCCTAGGAAGTGCTGGTCCACCATTCTGGTGCCCTAGAGTCCTATCAAAGACTATTTGACTTCACAATACTTTCCCTATTTTTATAGCACACGTAAGTTAAAATAATAAGTCAAGAAAAATTTTATTGAAGTTTTGGAGAATTTTCTTACGCGTTCTTGAGATTCACAGATACACCCCAGTGCTTGGCAAATTCATGACTAAAACCCCAGGCAACATCTACTCCAGATCCGTGTGAAAAATTAGAGAGCTGATTCTATGGCTACTAATACAAATGATTTTTATTCAATTAGGAATTCGTTAATAATATAAACTATGATACTGAATAAATGTGTCTCAATTTTATATCTTATTAAGGTCATTAATTGATAATCAAATTATTTTTCAACAAAACTTACAAAGCTGAGCATCTGCATGGAGAGTTCCTCCTTTAGGATTCAGTTTCTGGGTTTGAATCGCAGGAATGGGTTTATATGACTGGCCTGTGGCCCTATACATGGCCTGAACCCATAATACCCTATCCTGTTCATCATCACTGGCAAATATCACAGTGTCTCCCTCTTTAACTGCATTAAAGAACATCTGACCACCCTGGAGGCCTGTGGAGGAAGAGAGAAAAGTCATTAAAAACTTGCGTCATTGGCAGATTTCAAGCTCATTCACTGACCAGTCACATGGAAGACAATCAGTCTGACATTAGTAACTCAATGCTATCAATAAGAGAAACTTTAAATTTCCCTATCACTTTAGAAATTAAAACTAGCTTAAGGAAACAAACAGTTCATGACACAGTAGTAACATCCTGCAAGCCACACCAACCTAGTCCACAGAATACACAGCGCAGTGTGCAAGCTCACGCCAGAGAAGATGGTCTGATCTTTTGGTACATTTCCTATTAACCATCAGGAGAAACATATGGGATTTTAGCAGAAAAGAAATACAGGTAGGGCAAAAATGATACTTGTGTTTGTATGGCATTTTAACCTCTGCAAAATTTTTTCACAAAGAAGGTATTTTGTATTTTTCTGTGACCAGTTACTGTGATCTCTGTATTTATTAAATCTCTGTATTTTTTAATATTGCTTCATTAATTTTCCTAATCTCCACATATTCATTACTTCATTCCCTTGCCAATGTTAGATAGCCACTGTCTAGCATATACCTGGGATTAATATGGAGGTATGGAGAGAATTATAAGAATGTGAGATTGGGGAAAAAAATGGGTCAAATACATAAAATTTCATTTGCCTCTTCTTTCCCTATTTCTATCTCTTGTACCTTTTTGCTTTCCTGTCAAGAAGTTATAGAAGCATTGCTGGTATTTCTCACATGATTTTTCCATTACAGTAACTTTTACATATTGCATCCTTGTCCAAAAGATACCAGAAATGAGGAGTTATGGCTAAAGCCAAGTAGCCCTCAGAAAGATATACTCATGAAGTCTTGTCCAGGTACATAAGTGAAACATGCTCCCTATTCATTCAATGGGCTTTGAAACACAGAACAGGATATTTATGAGGATTTCATCAATACATGAAAGGCAGAGAAAGTGATGTAATTTGGAATTACCTGGGTGGGGATCTGTATAATCCACAGTGTATCCTTCAAGTTGCATTAGTTCCTGAGGTTCAGACTTTTTTTCTCTGTAGCTACACATAGCAAATGTGTATTGGCTAACCTGCACAAGAAAAGGTTTGCAGATTGCTTGCATTACATTTCTTTGACTTTTATTAGAAGACTCTGTCAAAATTTAAAAATCACATGATTTGCTTATAAATTGTTAAATGTTAGCATTTTTTCAAAACCTAGCTCAGGGATTAAAGCACCTTTCATCTGTCAGCTTGCAGTCAGGCCTTCCATGCCTCTGGCCCAGCGTTTCCCAAACCAGTTTCCCAAACCAACCTTCTGTTGGTCAACATTCTATGAGGTATTAATAGAAATACCATAAAAAAGCGCTTTTGTTAAAAATATGTTTGAGAATCACAGGTATATAAACAGGCTCCTTCTTCTGCGTGTTTTCTCATGGCCTTTAATAGGCTAACTTACTTTGTGAATCTTTACGACACAACTGGAACATACTCAAACTTATATGATCATGGAACTGTATTTTATTTTTTGAGAGAGAGAGAGAGAATGCGTGTGAGCACGGTGGGGGGAGGGGGAGAGAGCGAGCAAGCGAGCGAGCATCTTAAGCAGGCTCCATGCTCAGTGCAGAGCCCTGTGGGACCCAGGATATTTAACAAATTCCCCTACCCCTGGACAAGCAGAGCAGGACTAACTCCATTTTGTGCTACACCCGCCACCTCCTGTATGACCCCCACATGACCTGCTTATTACTTAAGGTGCTGCCCCATCCTAGTCAAGCCGCTGGGCACACCCTTACCAGAAGTCGGCTCATAAAAATGTAATCCCGCCTTGTGCCCGCCAAAACTGCGCGCCAGTTCTGACCAGAGTGATAGGCCAGTTCAAATGGTTACTATAGGGTGAATCTTCATTCCATCGGCCCTGCGTGTGGACCCACATGACTGTGCAACTTTCTATGTGTGTTACAATCCCATTGGCCACTGGCCCCTCCCTATAAAGCTGCTACGCCTCTTAGCCTTGGGGTCCAAGTCCCTGCTCCGCCATGTCGGGTGCACTTGGACCCAAGCTCGAGCTTGTGAATAAACCCCCGTGTGCTTGCATCGGTGTCGGCTCCTCGGTGGTTTCTCGGATTCGCGATCTTGGGCACAATAAGCCCATGTGGGGCTCAGTCTCTTGATCCTGAGGTCATGACCTCAACTGCAATAGAGAGACCAATGCTTAACTGACTGAGCCACTCAGGTGGCCCATGGAACCACATTTTAAAGCATACTTAAGAAAAAAAAAAAAAAGGATTTCAATAAGTGTTGAGAATTCAGTGGCCCGCATAACCGCCTCACAGGCTGGAGTCTTAGGCAGCCAGTGACCAACACGCCCAGGTCTACATCGTCTCTCCATCCTACTTCTCTTTTGAAACAGGCTTTACGTCCCGGTGCTTCAGCCTGGCTGACCTATACCTACAGTTGCAAACAGCTGTCCGGCACCTCCCTGACGGTCCCCCCGGAGTCACAAGGCTGTATTTGCACCGATCAACAGGGCTAAGGGGTAAAAGTAACGCTGGCCCAATCTGGGTCAAGAGCTTACACCTGTGGCCAAGCATATCCCATGGTTCCATAGGTGGGCTCTGATTACACCTGTGGCCAGGCATATCCCATGGTTCCATAGGTGGGCTATGAGAAGTTCCCCTACATGGAGAGAGGAGGTGCTCTTCCTAACTGGAGAAAAGAATGTTTGGTGGTCCTAAATTGCAAAGTATCTCTTAACAGGATCCATGGAAAACAGAGTTATGCAAATTATGCCCCTTTTCCACTTTGAAACACAGATGAAGGGATCCCTGGGTGGCGCAGCGGTTTGGCGCCTGCCTTTGGCCCAGGGCGCGATCCTGGAGACCCGGGATCGAATCCCACATCGGGCTCCTGGTGCATGGAGCCTGCTTCTCCCTCTGCCTGTGTCTCTGCCTCTCTCTCTCTCTGTGACTATCATAAATAAAAAAAAAAAAAAACAAAACAACAATATACAGTTGGATTTTTAAATCTCCAAGAATCTAACCTTTTAATAGGCAAGTTATATTTGTTACTTTTGGTGATATATTTGCGATCATTTCTATTATCGTACTGTGCTCATTAACACACTTATTTTTCCTCTTATTCTCTGTCTCTACTAAACATTAACAAAATTTCCCCTTTTCTCCGATAGTGCGGAAACTATATGTTCTGCTTTTATTTTTAGTGATTGCTCTCTCAAATCCTGTTGTGTTTTTAACTCCTCTGTCCTGAATATGGGGACCTTTGAGTGCTCTAGTATCGTCACCTCCCATCTTATAAATCGGGGCTCGTTTTTGTTAGTACTACCTCGTTTGAGTAATATTTGGTGTGTTAACATTTAGTAAAAGGAAGTATCAAAGTATGTTTTCTCATACAGTCAATATTTATAGCAGCCCTTGTCTTTACCGATTTTTGGCCACTACTGTTTCTTGAATCACACTCCATCATGGAGTTCAATTTCCTTCTTTAGTAAAAGCTTTTTGAGTCGGTGTTTATTTTAAAATCGGTCTTCAGTTCTCCCTTATGAATGACTGTTTAGTATATATGGTATCAGTATATTGGTATATTAGTATGTATTCAGTATATATGGCATTTCAGGCTAGTCATCATTCAGCACTTTGAGGACATCATGCCACTGCCAGAAGCTTATATATCCATGTTACCAAGTTTGATGAAAGTCCACGTGTGGTCCCCTTGTAGTTAATTTGCCTTTTCTCTCTGGTTTCTTTTAAATGTTCTCTTTATCTTTGTTATCCTGTTTTAATCTTTAACTTTAAAAAATTTTGAACTTTACTCCTGATGTTGGGCTTGAAATCACAACACGAGATCAAGAATCCTGTGCTCTATCAACTAAGCTACTCAGGTCCCCCTGTTATCCTTAGTTTTGCTGTGAAATTTTGGGGAGTTTTAATGTTATCCTGATTGATAGTTGTAGTATTTCTTGTATCTTAGAATTCATGACTTTTATCAATTTTAGAATCTTGTTCATTATCTTTCCAAATGTTGACTCTACCTCATTTTCCCTTTATTCTTTCTTCAGATTCTGTCAGAAATGGGCAGCCCGGGTGGCTCAGCGGCCTAGCTCCGTCTTCAGCCCAGGGCCTGATCCTGCAGACCCGGGATCGAGTCCCACGTCTGTCTCCCTGCATGGAGCCTGCTTCTCCCTCTGCCTGTGTCTCTGCCTCTCTCTCTCTCTGTCTGTGTCTGTCATGAATAAATAAATTAAATCTTAAAAACAAAACAAAATTCTGTCAGAAGTATCTTGGAACTTTATATTCTCTCCTCCCTATTTTAAGCTCTTACGTTTTTTTCATTTCTCTATGCTGAGTACTAATTTCTTAAGATTATAATAGTCTATCATTAATTACATCACTAATTTTCTCTTTAGATGTGTCTAACCCAATCTAACCTGTCCAATAAGGGTGTAAATTCAATGACTGTTTTAAATTTTTACTAGCAGCTCTACATAGCCCCATTCCAAACCCTCTTGTTCATTTTTCATAGTGTTATGTTCTGTTTTGTTCTTATACTTCTGGACCAGTTTATAAATTTCATCACCATAAATGCAATTATTTCATAGTTTACATATATGACAATTATTACTGAAATTCTTGGTTGTGTAAATAATTGGTTTATTGTTTTCTAATTTTTAATCATGAGCTCATATCCAGCACCATTTCATCTGTAGATGTTTTACAAAACCTATGTGAAAGGTTCATCTCTCCAAAAACAATTTTTAAAAAAATGTCAGATGCCTCAGCTATATCACCAATCCAGAAGTACTTTTTGTGTTAATTTCTTAACTTGGGCATTTCCTTTATATTTGTATGAAATAAATTAGCACTTCAACATTCCCTGAGTACAGTCTAATAGTCACAAACTCTCAGGAGTCATTTTTACTCCATATCCAGAGCCTACGGTCAAATATTAATTTACTAGCTTGGGGGCAGGTTGTTTTCTAGTCCACATTTCACAAGATCTAGCTCTTTTAAGTTCTTTTTTCTTTCAAGTTCTTCATGAGACGATCTCTTACCCAAATTCCCACTTTGAGAATGCCTCAGGGTATGTTTTCTTTCTCTGAGTGGACAATACAATCCCTACATACCAACGTCAACACCTCTCGTCCCCCTGCATACTCCACTCCAGCCCCAACAGGCGGACAACGTCCACTCACAAGCCTCCCTAGCTAGTTCCTGAGGTTTTCCTGCTTGCAGTTCAGCTCTGCAGTGAAGATGTGCACTAGAACTTGCCCAGCATTTCTAGGTGTTTTCCACAAAAGAATTCTTAGCATTATCTTTAGGACTAGCCAAGACCACCAATTCAAATCCTTTGGCTAATCCTTTAATTTTCCTTTTATTGTGGAGATTCTGAATAACACGTCTAACTTTCATATACATGAAAAAAACTTTTCATTTTCACATTTCGCTACATTCCAGGAAAAAAAAAAAAATCTATGACGTGGTTAGTACGGGAAACCAAAATACGTTCAGATTTGTCTTATAATTAAACTATAATTATTAGACTTCAGGGGACTAAGTAATACTTTTGTCACCAATTATTGACAAAATAGAAAATATATTGAGCCAATAATTCCTAAGTTTCCTGTTCCATTCTTTCATTTGGAAGAATCTTAAAAATCTTGGCTGAATGAAAGTCTCCTTACTCGTCACCACACGAATAATCTGGAATCTGCTGGGAGAGAGATGACTAGCACACAAAGGTTTGCCTTCCCTGCATGGCTTGCAAAAATCTCCCGCAAATATTAGTTGGAATTTACAGCTACCGCGGCATTTGGTACTCCAGACAGGCTCTCCGACAAGACTCACCTACTTTTATTCATTTCTCCACCTGAACTTCCAAGCAGGAATATATCACCTTCACCTTTAAAATCGCATGATTCATATTTCCTAATCTGGTAAACCCTACTCCTCTTTCCAGGACCCTTACACATTGTCCCCTCTACACATTTCTAACTACATTTACTAGTATGCTGTCTCTTTGCTTTTGACTCACTGGCTCTCACAGTATCTGGCATATAGTCCCCACCTTTTAT